AACAGTTCGACGTCAACATGGATCTATCTTTGGTGATTTCTTTATATATATATATATATATTTTATGTTATTTTTTGATCAAATTTTTTTTATATTGAGATAGAGTGGTGATAAGTTTCTTGTTTTTGTTATCTGAGAACATTTTGACAGTGAATTGAACCATGGAAATTTTGTGTGTTCTATTTTTTTTTTTTTGTTCCATTTTATTTATTTGAAGCCTTTTTTTCATATTAGTTTGAAATCGTTAATTTGATTGTTTATTGTTAAAAAGACATGGGAGAGAGGAAGGTGTTGAACAAGGACTACCCGACGGATTTTGATCCGATGAAAATACTGAGGCGAAAACAACATAAAAACCAGCAGATTAAGGTTCGAATGATGCTTCCAATGAGCATTCAATGCAACACCTGTGGCAATTACATCTACAGGGACCAAGTTTAATTCGTGCAAAGAAGACGTTATTGATGAGACATATTGGGGAATCCAAATATTCTGATTCTATTTTAGGTGTACCAAGTGGTCATCGGAGATTATAATGAAGACAGATTTGCAAAATTCAGACTGTGTTGTTGAGTTTGGTGCAATGCGGAATTTGAAACTGGATGAACAAGTAGGGAATAAGAAACGCAAAAGGGATGCCGAAGAGATGGGAGATGCGATGAAGTGTTTGGAGAATAGAACCTTGGACTCAAAAAGAGAAATGGGCATCTTTGCTGCACTGGACGAATTGAAGTCCATGAAATCCAGACATGCAATTGTGAGTGTAGATTCAATGCTTGATCAGCTCCTCCAGGAGGAAAAGGAAAAGGAAAAGGAAAAGGAAAAGGAAAAGGAAAAGGAAAAGGAAAAGGAAAAAAAGGAAAGGGAAAGGGAGTTGGAAGAAGACTCCAAAGGATTCAAGATAAATATTTTAGTGATGATTATGAGGATTTAACTCTGTTTCCTACAGGCAATGGGGAAATATCAAGCAATAATTCAAAGAAAAGGACAAATGATAGCATCAAAGGAGATCCAATGAGTCCTGGAGCTTCTAGCAGCAGTAAATTTAGAGTTTCTGGTATCAAAAAACCACCAACAAAAGAGGAGAGCAGACAAGAGGAAGAACATAATGCGACAAATATTACAAGCAATGGATTACAATCGTTATGCCAACACTATGAAAGTGAAGAAGAGTACTAGTTAGCATTTGTAATAGGTTTTACATTATTTTGAGTGAATTACAGATTAGCATTTTGTCAATATCATGTTTTCTCCCTCTTCTTTAACAATCTAGACAGAACTCCCTATGGTTTTGGCTCAAATTGAAAATTTGAAACTGTTAGCAATTTGATGTCAAAACTAATATGGTGCGGTTTTTTTTTTTGTTTAAATTTAAAAAAATGGTGCATTTTATTTCTCATTTTTGTATCTCAACTTCAATAAGCTCATTCGACAGTCTCAAATAGACTTATCAAACAGCTACCAACATGCCTCTCAAAACTAGTCACATTAAATTTTACCATCCTTTTTTCACTTTCACTCTCTCCGTGGGATCTTCACTTCTCACTTCTTCAAATTAACCGATTTAAATTGCACCGTGCCTGAAGGCACGGGTTACATATAATGCAAGAGATCCCCCAGACTGATCTTGTTCTCTAGGAGTGGAAGCTAGATACCACTTCCAATTAGTCAGGCAATATGAGTTCTATGCACTTGTGCCTATGTTTTTAAGTTTAAGAAATGTGGGATTCGATCATACTTATTTTGTTAGACATGTTGGTGGCAACTTCATGTGCTCCAACTGACCCAAAAAAAAAACTTTATGTGCTCCAAATTGGATTTTCTTGAATACCGTCTGCCTAAAAGTTACTAAAATGTACATCAATTTTGACTTATCCTTTTGTTTAATTAAGATAAATAATAAAACCAAAATAAAAATAAGTGGCCTCAAAATAAAGAGAATGATGGAACCTATGTTCATAATTTCTAAATTTTCATTTTCAATATATGGCCAAAAGCAAGGGTCCAAAATATGGCATTTGGTGATTGTTACGACTAATACGAAATGTGAACGAGATAACTTAAAAATTCCTTCGTAGTAAATAATTTCTTAGGATAGTTTAGATAACAAGATCATTTTTCAGCGGTTCACATTCTCTGTGTGATTTAATTTCCATTATTCACAGGTGATAACATAGAAGTCATGAGTAAAAATGATACATAGTTAAACCCGTTTTCTTAAAAAAAAAAAAAGGAGGGGGGGTTTAGTAGTACATATCATTCTACCTCAAAGTTGGTCCCAGAATGCACCTTAATTGGGAGTGACCCACTTTGCCAGAAAAGGATGGTGCCCTTGTTAGCAGTTTAGCATTACATGTACAACTCTACAAGCTTGTAATGATGCTTTTATGCTAATGTGATGAGAAGGCATAATAAACCCATTTACGTGTATGATGCCTGTGCTTTAATCCTATCATTATGGGATGGACCACTGATTCTCCCATTTATTGCTTTTGTTCTTAAGCTTGACTAGCTACACCCTCCATATTTATTAGTTATCAAGAGCTTGACCTATCTATCTATCTATCTAGCTACTGTGGGAGAGAGATCACCAAACCCTACTGAATATTGGGGATGTTTCATTTAATTTATCTGTCATAAGTACTCTCCAATTAACAAGTCTTCACCAACCCACTATCTATGAGATCATATTTCTGGTAACATGTGTGCATGTGTTATTGTATAAGCACATACATATATTTGAACTAAGTGTTTTTAGGATTCATAACTGTAACGAAACTTCAGATGCATGCAATCACGCTCAAACCATATTCATCGGTTAAAAAACGATTTTTTATGTGACACCTGAAATCTAGACTTGTAGGTTTACGTCTTGCTTCGTGTTGGACTGTTGAACCAATTATTCCTATATTTTATCCCATTAGAAGGCCTAATTAATTTCCTGCTCAAATTGATGCAAGTGTTGGTCAAATTTGCACTTTCATAATTGGGAATCTAAAAAAGGTTGTCTACAGCACCAGGTTCCTGATATATATAATGTATAATACACACACACACACACACATATAATATATATTAAACAGGAACATAGTTAAACTTACTTGGTGTGGATCCAAAATTTTACTGAGGATTAATAAAACAAAATCAAACCAAACCCTCAATGGGCCCCATTGATGGCTCCAG